ATATATATATATATATATATTATACACCTATAAACCTTTATTCTACATGTAACGTACATGTCATCATTCAGGCCTCTTTTTGTAGTTAAGGATTTTCCTCCTTGTAGTCAAAGGTAATGACAAAGATCTAACTGCCACGAAGGATAGGCTTTGATCACCCCATATTTCCATGTTTTTTTTTCCTTTAAAACAATCTACGTAGTGTTTCAAAGCCAACAATCAAGAATTAATCTACATTTACAAAGTGTTACATTGATCAAATATCATTTTAACATCGACAGAAATTGATTTTAAGAGTAATAGGTCGACCCCCATGTCCCAAAATAGGTCTCACAACCACGGATCTAAGAGTAGGGATGTTAATGAGATAGAGCAAGTAAATTTAAAAACTAAATATTAAACATTCAATCATATAAGTTGAAAGTTCAAACAATAATTGTTAAGATAAAATATTTTAATTACACAAATCAAAATAAAAGATAATAAAGTACAATACTTTACTATTATAAGTTTAAACAAAGTCTAAATCAAATCGAATTGATACAAATTCAAATAAATTGAATATTAACAGGTATGAATATCAGTATGGATATTATGATACTTGTACCCTCCTTATTAACATGAGAGTATAAAAAATATCCGTAACTATTATTTGTAAATATCTATTTATAATATTTATTTGTTATCCGTTGCAAATTTTATCTACAAGTACGAATTTTTTTTGACATACCTAGGCTAGAGAGATGGTTCCATATTCCCATGTTTGTAGACTCATCTGCATTTATGTACCGAAAACCACAGTGGCAGTTCAATACCTCGGGTGTTACATGGATATTATAATTATGCATACATGACAGATATAAAATAAATAGCTGCAATGTGTATGACGCTTTTGTTTCATTGGGTGGTGTGCTTCTCTGAATTTAATTATTTATGGGTCAAAATGGAGGTAAGGGGAGTGAGTACTCACTGAAACATGCATCTTCACCGCTTTGCTAGCTATAGTGTCACATGCATTGCCCATACATGGAGGAGGTAGCACACTTCTACCACATTAATTGTAAGTGGGGCCTCTGATTACCAAATTAAAGATACAATAATAAATATATCATGCATAATATGGTCTCTCGATGATTCTGATGTTATCTCATGTTCTATTCACATGGAATTCAGGTGATATTTGCAGAGTCTTACAGGAACATTTTATTCAGGTTTTACTTCTCTGTAATTCTGTCTTTACAATGCTGATATAGTGTTGTTCTATTCAATTGTACTGGTTTGAGTTCATAAAAGCTAACTTTGCATTAAGATACTGAACTACGAATATATTTTAGGTTTCTGTCCAAATCATATGATTAATTGCTTGCCGTGCCTCCAAAGGTGCACACAGAATCTCGTGCTACTCTAATTTTCTTCCGTTGCTGTGTCACATTCTAATAAGACAGAATGCAAGTTCCTTTCAAATTCTCTTTAAATAAAGTTGCTCCACATGTCTAACTTAATGAAGAAAAGATACAATCTTCATGCATAAACACGTTCTCAAAGTACTCCTTTTGGTGGATAAATGTCATACAGCTACCAGTCCTTTCACACACATGAAAGTCAAATCTAGTCCCACTTTTTTGAGGGACAAACATATCTACTAATTAGATTGTGTAGGAAACGAAATATTCTCTTGAACTTGTCATTTGTAAAAATTTCCTTGCTAAGAGTGTAAATGGAGACTAATATTGTCAGAATTCTGTTTTGTGCCTTTCATTGATCATAAATATTACAAACATATTTACAGTCAGTATTAATGACATAATTATTCTAATTCCTATAATTAGACAATCTAATTATATTATATACAATAAATGGACAGATTACAAATCCTAAAATATACAGCACATTTTAATGACAGAATCTTTAATTGCCAAAAATCAATAAAAAAAATTAAAACCTCTCTAAATACGGCCATATGCTGCTATTATTAACCTTAATCATCTTTCTTAGTACCTATCATGAAGAGTGAAAGAGAATAGGGGGACAAGTCTCCACTAAAGTGAAGTAACTAAAGAGCACAAGATGAATTTATCGTTCATTTAAAGAATGTTGTGAACTTTACCCTCTTTGACTCAAGAGTAGATAGATATTGTAGCCTTATGCAAAAATGGAAATTTCAAGACAGGCAATCTGAATCAACCTACAAGTTTATTCAAATACATGAGAAGGAAAACGAACGGGTAAAGAGAGCCACAAATATTTTCTTCAGAGGCAAATATATAAGGAAGGAGTTAGTTAAAGTGAGTTATTAGTTTTCAATCTCACAGCAGTGAAATGTCAAATAATAAGGAAAAAGTTTCAATGGTCATCATGCAGATTGCCAAAGTCACAAATTGTGTGGTCCTTCTAGACTCGGTAAGTTAGAAACATAAAGAATGTCTTGATCTAACAATTGTTAGGTTGTCTGGCAAATTTCCTCCTCACATTTTTTTTTTCATTTTTTCCCCAAGTTAAATAAAAGTTTTATGGAGCAATGTTGAAGACCGCTATAACCATTTCGAAGCTTTCCTTCTTACTTCCCTTTTCTTCTTTTATGACTTAAAATGAAATCATCATCATCCTCATCACTCTCAGTAATTTTTTTCTTGGCTTTTATGTCACCATTTTTGGATGCCTGTTGTTGCTTCTGGGAAGTTTCAGTTTTAGTTGACGGCTTTGATGGCTTAACAGGAGTTCCAGTCCGTATTTCCTTTTGTTTCCTCTGCTTCTTCTCAAATGCTCTCTTAGCTCTATCTGGAGACAACATCCCATATTCCATTAACCTGTACATTGAAATATATATGGTACATGATAAATACTTATTATATTGCATAAATATTTAACACTGAACAAATTAAGTAACCCCTTCAATTGAAGAAAACATAATTGCATTATACCCTGCCGATACAAAAAAGCACTTTGATCATTATTTCCCTGAAAACTTTGCCAGTGCAAAGGTTGAAACAGAAAATTCCTTGTGCATGTTTCAGGGAAGAAGTGGTACTATTTAAGTCAGTATAAGATAAAGTGAAGTTCTGTCATATTTTTGACTCTGGGATATAGTACCATATTAGAACAAAGACTAAACTTTTTTCGTATGTGAACGCAAATGCTACCAATATTTTGTGGATCCAACTATTCTTTTCCAGTCAATCGGGCCAAGAAGGTGTACACTATCCATTGAGTAACCAGTCTCTGAGGAATGCTCTTTGCCACTCTCCTCAGGGTCAAAGGTTTAACCAAGTTGCTGCCCCTTTTCGTTGTTGGAGAATATTCAACTTAAGATTAATTGCAGTTCAATCCCAAAATTCCTATCGTATAGGAGAAGAGAAATGAAAAGGGTAGATTTAAGCACCAGAAAATGGATCTAACATAGGCAACTGTAGACAGGAAAGACCCATGACAAGAGCTATAAGCAAGCGTGCTTATGCTGTCCTATAAAATTGATAATTTTCATCAATTGCTACTTTTTTCCGTATCATTTGGACCAAAATCCAATGCTTTAACTATTGTTAAATCCTAAATAACAGATTCTGTCCTCTTCTAGTGACTAATTTTGTAAAGGATGGCATTTGCACTTTTATAGAGCATGGTTACTCAATTTTGATGAAAATTAATAAAATAGAAAATGAATAAAAATATTAAATTGAGGCTAACACATTTGAAGAAACAGGTGTTAAGAAAATGAAATTTGATAGAAAAATAATGGAAATATTCTTCCAACACTATGCTTTTCAGTAATCAACAACAGAAGCTGCATATTTCAACTATAAAAGTTCCTATAGGCACGTGTTATAACTATAAGGCCATCATCCAATTACTCTTTGATGAAGTGTCTATCAAATCTGTGTTTCAGTCTATTATGCTTGACTGGGTTATGGGCAATGTTTATAGCCAAATTGTTATACCAAAACAAAATGGAACCTTCTTATTTAACTGAGGTCATCAAGAATAATTTCATCTATAATCCTTCATATATGCCATGTTCCTTAGCTCAAAACTCAATTTCTGCATTAGTCTGAGCAACTACATTATGCTTCTTAGTCCTCCATGTTACCAGATTCTCAACAAGAAACATGCAATAATTAGAAATGAATTTTCTAGTTATTACTAAGCATGCATAGTCAACATCAATGTATATCTCCATGGAAAATGAGCTTTTCTTCTAAATTATAGTTCCTTTCATATACTTATCATCAAATAATGGAGGATCCGCTCAAATACTTGAAGGTGACATTTACAGAGGTCATCTATAAATTGAATGACCACACTAACACCATAAGCACTATGCACTACTCTGAAGCACGGATACGTGAAAATAGATCCCGTATCCGTATCGGATACGTATCCGATACGGATACGTTTTGATACGTGAAGGATACGTATCTTATCCGTATCCACACTGATTTTATTATAAAAAAAAAAAATTTCAGATTTGTTCCCAAAACGAAAATATTCGGAAATCAACTATAAAATAGGAGGAAAATACAAATTTGAGAGGGAGATACTTTGCATTCCATAGGATTTGCTGCGTTTAGACACCGAGTCCGACTCAGAAGACAACCGCACACCAGACCCAGTTCCGGTCATGCATAGCGAGATGGAAACCTAAGGCTCTGGTCTCGACTTTTTTTTTTTTTTGGTCTCAACTTTGTTCCTCTGTTGGGGGGGGGGCTCTGGTCTCGACTTTGTTCCTGTGTGGGGGGAGGGGGGGAGGCTTTACGCTTTTGGGGGAGAAAATTTATCTGATGCGTATATTTTACGGTCATGCTTCATGCTTTTTGATAAAATAATATTAAAATATAATATTAAAATAAGTTAAATATTTAAATATTAATTAAAAGGTGTATATAATATTAAAAAAATTAAAATCAAAGCAAATATTTTTGAGTCTATTGCCATTTCATTTTTTCTTTTTTTTATATTTTACTGTGTTATTTGTACCTTTATTTAATTTTATAATTTATTTAAAAATATAAAAAATAGTAGCATATTAATTTTATAATTTATTTGTACTTTTATTTAATTTTTGAATAATATTTATTTACAATTATTATTTTATATATATTAATTTATTTATTTTTTAATACGTATCCTAAACGTATCGTATCCTATATTTTTAAAATTTGACGTATCGCCGTATCGGATACGTATCGTATCCGATACGCGTATCGTATCCGTGCATCATAGATGCACTATTAGGCCTAGTGGGAGATAGATATATCAACTTCCCCACCAACCTCTAGGATTGGGACTTATCTAGAAGTGAGTTTTCTTCACTTCCAATCTTGTGGTTCTGCTCAATGAGCACCCTGGGGTCTTGCATCCCAATTTTCCTATCTCCTCTTTTTAAATCTTTGTGTTTTAACAATTGACAAATATCACAATTAAAAGACTCAATAGACTCCTTAGTAAACAAATGAGGAAATAAGGATTTAAGAAGGTTGAATGAAGGATTTAAGACTCATGATTTAAGACTCAATAGACTCAATAGCCTTTTATGATGTAGCCATATTTGGGAATTTGCCCACGTTTCAGATGTAGCTTGTTGACTCATGATTTTTGTTTTGTTTTGGTCATCAAATTCCAACAAATACAACCCACTCTGCTCTTTAGCAGTTAAAATCGTCTTCCCCATAGCACGGTCCTAAAAAACACAATGAGTTGAGAAAAATGTTACTAAACAATTTAAATCTTTTGTGAGCTTTTGCACAGAGATAAGATTATTGGCTAATTGTGGAACATGTAAAACATCCTTTAATACAATAGATGATTCCAAACTTATATTCCCAAAGTCGCATATGGGTACACCTTGACCATTCGCAACTGTAATAAGTTGTTCTTTATTCCTTTGAACATATGATTTGAAGATCATACGAAAAGGTGTCATATGCATGGTTGTCAATCTCTAGTGATAACTCGTAAACTCGTACGAGTTTACGAGATTAGGACAGCTTACCTGTATAAATCGGGAGTAAACTCGTTTTTGAGTAATCTCGGAGAAATCTCGGTGATCTCGTGTAATCTCGTGTAATATCGCGAGATCGGTCCCTAGTTTAAGAGATCACATTTTTTTTTTCTCCACAAAACGTTCGTTTTGGTTAGGGCTGAAACATAGTAATCGATAGTAGTTGTCGCGGCCACAATCGCAGCGTGTCGGAGCACAGCGGCTCTGTTGCGGAGCGGCCGCGAAAGCGGCTGAGCATGGCGGCGCGATCACGGGTGGGCGACGAATCTTCTCTTCTTTTTCTGGCGGATCTTCGTCGATCTGTCTTCTCCAGTGGATCTCCGTCAATCTATCCTCTCTGATAGTGGCTCTATCTTCTCCGAAGGTGGCTCTATCTTCTCCGACATCTGCAGATCTGTCTTCTTCTAAGAGGGAAGGCAGCGGCGACGGCTTGAGGAAGGGTTGCACGAAAAATAATTAAGGTTGGAATATGGGCCAAATGGGCCGTTTTATTTTGTGTAATTAGGGTTGAAATATGGGCCAAGTTTTTTTTTTTTTGATTTGGTTATGGGGTTTTTACTTTATATTTTTTTAGAAAGTAACTTCTCTTTATTATTAATTATTATTATTATAATTTAGATAATATTTAAGTAATACAAAATTTAATATAAGACCTTAAATATTTTGTTTTCTTAATTTTTTTATTTTGTTTAATTACTATAAACTTTTATTATTAAAAATATTTAATGTATAAATTGTTATGTTTCTATTTTTATATGTATATTATTAATTAT